TTCAGCTCGGTTCAAAGGGCTTCTCGACCTTCCTTGCCATCTCGGATCTTCAGGACTTGCTCGACGTGGGTGACGAAGACGATGCCGTCGCCGGCGAAGCCGGTCCTCGCACGGGTCACCACGGCGTCCAGAAGGTCAGCGACCTGCTCTGCGCGACAGACGACCTCGACTTTGAAGGCATCTTCGGTCTTCGAAAGATCGTTCGGGGCGAGGCCTCCAAGGTGCCGTCGGTAGCCGTAACCAACACCGTGAACCCGCGACACCGTGGCGCCGGGCGCACCGGCCAGCTCCAAGCCTCCGAGCACGTCGTCAATCTTGTCGACTCTGACAAAAGCCTTGATCAGCTTCATCGTGGTGGCACTCCTCGTCGAGAGAATCGAGTACAAGCTATTCGAAGCGGAGCTGCTTCTCTCTCATGCCTCCGCAGCCTCCAAGAGAAAAGGGTTTGTTGCAGCCGCCGGTGAAACAGGCGTCCCCGGAGAAACCGTCGGGATTGAGCACGTCGATCCACGCCTGCGCCGCCCTCTGGACTTGCACGACCGTGGCGTCTTTTTCGGTGATCAAGTACTTCGACAGGCCCCAGATGGAGCGTGTCAAATTGCACTCGCAGCAACAGGTGGCCGCTGAATACTCACTGCAGCACGGCGCCGGAATGGCGCCGAGGGCCGCTTTGCGAGTCGCCTCCTGCGACTCGTCGAGGGAAATGGCACGGTTGTAGGTCATGAAGGTCTCGACCTCTTCTTTCGAACCGGCGAATTTGCCGGCGGCCCAATCGACGTCCTCGGCAAAGCTCGCGCTCGCCAGAAAGAGAATGATCAGCACCGTGGCCAGCCATGGGATTTCGGTCGTCGTCGCTTTCATCGGTTTGTCCCCAGCGARTCGAGAGCTTCTAGTGGTGTCCTTCGTGCCCATCCGTCTTCTTGTCTTCCAAGGCTTCCGAGTCGGCTGGTCCGCTGTCCTGCGCCATCATGGCTTGCATCATCGGACACTCGGCCATCTCACCGGATTTCGCCTTCATTTGAGCCATCATCATGTGCATCTGTCCCTTGGAGTCCATGCCCATCATGCGTCCACGCATCGCTTCCAGCTGTACGGCGATCTCTCGGACCGCGGCGGCCAGGGCTTCGCTTTGTTCCTGGTCCTCGGCGGTGGCCAAGGCGTCCACGAGATCTTGCAGCCGCGCCGAAGCCTCGGCATCGGCCGCCTTCATCGCTTGATGCCGCTGCATCATCGCCTGGCAGCCTTCCATCATGGCCGGTCCCTTTTCTTGCTCGGCAAGCAGGAAGCTCGACGTCGAGATCATCAGCAGGACCAAGCAGAAGATGACCTTGCGTTTGATGCCCCTGGGTTTGACTGTGAAGTTTGTATTCATGACTCTTTCTCCTCTTCGACGGTTTGGTTCTGGATATCTTGAGCCTTCGAYAAGGCTTCGATCGCTTCTTCGAGCGCGCTTCTCAAGCTGCTCAGCAACTCGGCGCTCACTTTCCCTCCTTCGAGGTGTGTGGCCGCCGTCAGRTAGACCTTGAGGGCCAGACTTTGGGGATCCAGACACCGGACGCTCGAGCTCGAGCCTAGGCCGCCGCAGTCGAGCAAAGACTGACGAATTCGCCAATAGAGCTCCATCACGAATCGGGGTTCCAATCCTTCCGTTCCGA